CTTAGAACTCGGTTTTCTTTCACACCAGACAAGTGGAGATGATCTGAAGAAATTGTTCTAAAAATACAACAGACCACCCTGTAGTGATGATTACTTTAATGCTTTTTTTTAAATAAAATTGTAATTTAAAGTAAATATTATTTTGGGAAGAATATAAAATCTTACATGGCAATGGGGGTGGGGCATGCATTCTACATTACTTCGCTTTTTAAATTTTCTTATTTTAAAATATTTTAGACTATCCTTTATGACAGTAAACAAGATTATACCATAACTTTCTTACATTATGTTCGTTGGTGTAGTTGCTTCTTCTGCGATGAGACTAGCCAAAATTTCTTCTTCTTTTAGTAAAGATTGTCTAATAAGAAAATAAAAAATATACAACTAATAATGCTATTTTGTTAAAAAAATATTCAATTTACACATTCATTAATTTGCTTTTTATATACATATTTTCTTAAGGCAATTCTTCATTACAACAGGCACGAATATACCATAATTTCCTTACATTAGGTTCGTTGCAGTAGTTGATTCTTCTGCAATAGTGCTAGCCAAAATTTGTTCTTGTTTCAGTGAAGATTTTCTAAAGGAAAATAATAAAAAATGATCCAACTATTAATTATATTAATATATAATATTATATATATTAATATACATATTAATTAATAATTATATTCAAGTTATTGAAAAAAAAGATTGAATATACAAATTATAAATTCAACTAAACTACACAGCACACAATAAACATCTGCATTACTTTCTTCTCTGAAGATCCAACTGTGTCTTCTCACGTCTTTGTCTGGCTTTTTCATTTCGTGTCAGAATGGTGTTTGATTCTCGTGGTAAAGATTCCACGGACGTGTCTTGTGGTTCCGGGGATGAGCCATGTTTATGAAAAAATTTTCGTAAACTTTTCTTCTTCTTTTTCTGTGTCGATATTTTGGTAGCCTTCTTAGAGTATGAAATTCTCTTTTTTGACTTTTGTAGTTTCGTACATGGTAAACATTTTCCTTTCTCTTTTTGTTGGTCACAAGGTACAAAGAATTTGGAAGATGACGCTGAAGAAATGTGTTGATTTATTTCAGAGTTCTTTCCATTATCTATCTGTATAAAATATTTTATTTTATATTAAAGATATACCTTTTTAAAACGCCAAGATGTATGTTTGTTTAACTATTACATTTTGTAGTTTACAAATTAATGTTATGTTGTTTTGACAATACATTGAAATAGCACGTGAAGTATGCATCTATTTTCATTTAGAATCAATATGATTTTTATTTTACGAGAAAAGAGTACATTTTTTTTACATACCAAAGAAACTACTGCATGCAAAAGTCCAAGAAGCTGAAAATACATTAGCATTTTTTTAAAAATATGGCATGTTGTTGAATTTATGTACACTGTAGCCTTAACATGATTTGCATAATAGTGTCTGCACCTTAGCATTTTAATATTACAACATTATTATTAGTTTACTGCTTTAATAAGAAGTACTTACAGGGATGTTGATGTTAATTAAAATGTAGAAGAATATCCACATCTTAAATTGACGAAAATAAGCGTACACCGTGTGAAATCGTAAGAAGTTCTACAGTATTGTATGTCAAGGTTATTAACGAAAGCTGGCACGTGATATGTTTCTATTAGATCCAACCGGTCGATAGAATCGACGTTCAGTCAAGCCGGGCACTAAACTAGAGTACGTGACAAACTACACGCAACAGTACGGTTCGACACGCTTGACTTGGTTTCATTCAAAAAATTCAAGCTACGCCCTAATTATAATTTGAACTTATAAATAAAAGATCTTTGTGTTTTAAGGAAGCGTGAAAAGTTACAAAATTGCTTATATACTTAGCCCTGCGTATTTCCCGTTATGTAAAATATTGCTAAGAGTTGTCTATACAGGTTAAACGATCGTATGAATACTGTGTCATTACTGTGTATTTTATGTTTAATTTTGTTATTCAGTTTTTATTTTAATAAGGAATAATTTATTTGTTTCTTCTGTAAGTCGAGAGAATATCTTTATATAATATATATAATTTTTTATTATAAAATTACCTTCCTACTACCTGTACCAATAGGGCTGGTAAGTAGGTCACCAACCATCTCTACGGCTTAATAAAACCTGCATGAGCCATAAAACTGGTTGGTGACCTACTTACCAGCCCTATTACAACGACCTCCCCGGCGGCTTTGAACCAAAATATAGGATATATTTCTTCCGCCTAAACCTTTTCTAAAATAATTTCATTTTTTTCTGCATAAACTTTTTATTGGTAGGCCTATTTTGTAGATTGGTCTATGTTTTATACGGTTATGAACAGTATAAATTTTTTATCACCGATCAGCTATTAAATAAAGAAATACCTAATTGTTTGTTAATATGGATATACATACATTTGTTTTATACTTTGAATATGAACAGCTCGGTAACATTTGTCATTTGTATATCAATATAATTGTAGATTATAGTATGTTTAGAAACGCCTATGTACACGTATTTAGTAGTTTGATAAATGTTGATCAGAGACCAATGTTCACCAAGATTGCTGAAATCAATAATTCATTCCTTGATCGATTACCAGTGACGGCTCAATGGGACTTTGTAAAGCTGCAGTACGCTTTTATACACACTTAGAATAGAGGTGGTTCAAGGACAATATGTACATAGTAGAGTTGTATGAAATGTGTACATAAATGTTGACTGAGATTTTGTTATTTTTTTCATCTGATTTATTCATAATTAGTTAAACATTCATTTCTCAATAACATAAACTAAAATATAATGTATATATAAGATTGCATACACTTGAACACAATAAATACGCACATACTGATAGAGTCATACAGGCACGCACATACAGTCGCATACACAGATACAGATACAAACAGACACACGCATATTTAGACATATACCGACAAACACTAATACAGATGCACATAACACAGACATACAAATGGATAAAAAAAGCGATGAATACCGTTAAAAATTGATTATTTGATTAAACAATAAAATTCATATATGTACACTGAAAACTTCTATTAAGAGTTAAATGAAAAAAAAAGTATGAGAAGTTATCTAGTGGTAAAAAGAACAAAACGTATTGTTAATTTATCGGATTTTTTTACCCAATTGCGTTTGACTCAAAAAAAAAAAAAAAAAAAAAAAAAAAAAAAAAGCAATAAAATATAACGCCCAGACAGTTGTCACACTATGTTTTAACTATTTTTTTTTCTCAATCGGACGTTCTTCTTCTTCATACACAATTATATATGACGATTTTTCTGACGGTTTTCATGTTTGCCACTGAATAAAACACATTGGCAATTATATTTTTTACAAACATTCAATGCGGTGCCTAGGTTTATTTTTTTATGGCAAAACTTATTAACCAAGAAATTACGTATTTCGTGTATTTTATTTTTTTCACTATCTTACCGAAGTTTGATGTTATTGGTTTGTTAAAAACTGCAACTATTTTTTTTCACTAAGCAAATTTTAACTTATGCAATTTACGATGATATTTATTTCTGAATTGGTTAGGTCTTTTATGGAAAAAATTCAAATATTTCTGTTTTTGACTTTACTGCATTGCAAGAAATCATTTCATGGTTGACTACTGAAAAAATCTGAGTGCCAGGACTTTTATTATTACAAACAAAGTGTAAAGAAAATCATTTTGTTTATTAGGCATGCAATGATTTTTTTTTTACATTAAAGAAATATATTCAGTTTGAAAAAAGCAAAAATATCATTTAGGACTAAGCGTTTAATAGAGCACATGAATTAGTGTTCATTTGCTATTCAAAGAAAAAAAAATCTATAAAATTAAAACACAAATACACACACGCACACAAACAACAACAACGGCGTTAAAGCCTAAACCTAAATACACACATCAGTACGTTTGATGTAAAACATAATTAAGGTAACATTGATATATTAATATAAAAAAAAAGGTGAAAATGTGATTGCAAATCATATAGGCCCTACGTCATCGCTAATTGTGTTGGCCATATGAGCCCCATGAAGTGAAGTACGAATTGTGCAGTATTGACAAAAAACTTCACTGCAAATATATTTCAACACAACCTCCATGAGACGTCCATATGCGTCTGAAAAAAACCATATATATATATATATATATATATATATATATATATATATATATATACACACACATATATATATATATATATATATATATATATATATATATATATATATTTATTTATTTATTTATGGCGAGTCAAACTTCCGATATGAACTCCTGCACATACTTTATGTTGTTTTGTTGCAGGTATTCCTCCACTGCCGGCTTTATCCGTGGTATCCCATGTTGGCTGTGTGTCCCTCGACCTGTGTTGACGTTGATTGTTGGCACTTGTTCTAGAAGAGAAAATCCCATTAAAACAATGATTAGATTTGACGCGTAGTGTAAGAAAAAAAAATCCAAACATTTGCTTTTGTGCAACCCTGTCAGCTAGTTTTAATTTAGACAGTGGCGTAGCGAGGTCGGGTGTTACACGGTGCGGAACTTAATGGTGTCACCCTCCCCCCAGAGGCGTAGCGACCCTTCCGGGGACAAATTTTCGATTTGCATCCCCCCTAACCTCAAGTTTTCGATTTGCACACCCCCCCCCCCCCCCTCAAACTTTCGATTTCCACCCACCCACTCATGTTTTTCTCTATATATTTTGCTATTTTTTGCCTTGGTGTCACCCCCCTAAATGGTGTCACCCGGTGCGGTCCGCAACCCTCCCCCCTCGCTACGCCTCTGGATTTAGATAACACTGATTGTATGTAGATTGTATGGAGAGTGGCGGGGGGTGTACCTAAATTTACTGTCTTATCATACGTTTCCTTTATCCTCTTATTTTTAGCTTTAAAAGCTTTATACTGTAAGGAATATTTATACATTTTTTTTCTTATAGTAGAGTTAGTTTATATTTGTATAAAATTGGAGTTATAAATAATAAATGTTACACCATCATCTTATGCGCATACCTTTCTTCTTTTGTTGATAAAAGAAGTGAAAAACTTCCATAGCGCGCTCTACTGTTAGCAAGTGCAAATCTAGACTACAGTCTTGCGATCTGATGAAAGATGTACATCCTAACTAAGGACAGAGTTTGTGAGAATAGATATATGTAAATCTTAAATAAGACCAGCTATATGGGAACAAGAAATAGTTAAATATAAGGGGAATATAATTTATTTCCTCTAAAGCAAGTCCGTCTTGATGGTGGGACCAGTATTTTATTTGATCTGTGCCGATGATATATCAAAATCTGTATCATACACACTCTGCCTGTATATGCGCTTAAATTATGTAAAGTTGGTCTGGGTAGGATCTTATTGATACTATTCATTTATTACATGTGGCGTTCGGTAGGTCTTACAGTGTAATGCAGTTCTGCCTTTTAATTAGTTTTTCTTCCAAGTAGATTGTTATTGCGCCCTTATTTGGTTTACACCCGTATTTGCTGCGCTGTCTCAACTCTAGGGAGCAAGCCATTCAATATCTTAGCATTGTATGGGTTTGATGCCTGTTAAACTTACTGCAGCTTGATGGTGAACGCTGATTAGTTTTATTTAAAAGAAAATATTTCACAATTAAAAAACTAAAGAAGAAAAAGGATGAAATTAATAGTTAATGATATTATAGGAGAAACAAAATAACAAAATACATCAGAGGCGTAGCGACCCTTCCCGGCGCCCGGGGACATACTTTCAATTTGGCGCCCCCTTGGGAGCAAATTTTCGATTTGCACCCCCCCTCGAACTTTTAATTTGCACCCCCCTCAAACTTTCAATTTGGCGCCCCCCCTAAGGTCGGCGCCCTGAGACATATGTCCCCCCCCCCTCGCTACGCTACTGAAATACATAGTCTAGTTCGCTCTTACCTACAATACACAAGGCTAGTCAGTGTTTGTTTTAGATCTTTACCGTCGACGATTTGTATATTGTATTTTGTACATTGCGCATTCAGGTCTACACGAAGCATGACATTCGGGATCATCCACAGATAAGACCTGCACAGTGGATAATTTATTAACATAGTTGTACATCAATCCATTTAAAACCATTGTATGTGAGTATACTTAAAAAGAGCAGTATTGGTAGTTTAAACTACTTTAAAGTATTAGAGCAAGTCTGTTCAAGATTCATATATTTTTTATAAGGATTAATATTTCTAGGTATAAATATTTTGTTCTTCTATTAACATTCTATTACAAATATCATTGACAATACTTATTTGTTTAAATATTCCATTTTATGTAGTTTATTTAGGTTTTACATTGAATTATTAGATATTAGAATGTATGTTTGTTATTATATTATTATTATATGTATTTTGTTATATTCAAACATTCTATTATTTTATTTAGAAACCAAAATAACATTACCTGTCAGGTATAAAATGTAATTTTTTCAGGTGATCCTCAATTGCTCTGCTTAAGTCTCCAACTTTAATCATCACAATGTAAACATACCTGTTGTGTGGCGCGTATGACCTTGTGTAAACTAAACAATTAAATTTTTTTATTAAATATGGATGAGAGAACGCTTTTAGAAAAAAATATTTGAATTTCTAATAAATGTTTTACTTACTACGAATCTGTTCTCCTAAAAATATGTTAATATTTTCGAAAATTCTCTTTCGTTTCATTCCGTCTAAGCAAAGTAGAGGTAAACTTGGGCTTCTGCTGAATAAATGTTAACGTTTTAGTCTAAACATATAATAGTATTTATATTATATTATTATCCTTGTTACTGGTATTTATTGTTTGTATTGTAGCCTTGCTATAAATTTAATATTTGTTCTTCTGAGGTAAAATTAGTTTTGTAAATCTCATTTAAAATTAAATGTACGAAAGTTGAATAATAAAAGATTTTTCAATTTACTTTATATGTTGATTTGTTAAGTTTGCTCTTTCTTGTGTTTGTTTATATTTGTCTACTCTTTTCATTTGGTTAAGTGTTTCCTGCTTGTGGCCGCTATTTGTCGGGCTTTCTGGGGACGACCCATGCTTATTAAAATATTTTAGTTTGATTTTCTTCTTCTTTTCACAAGTTGGTTGGGATGTTTTACGTTTAGAACGTGATTTTCTTGACTTCTGTGCTTTCGGCTGGGTACACTCTGTAGTGTTGTCCAACGTTTTTTTCGTGTGATTGATGCAATTTTTAGATCGAGATGACACATGTTGATTTCTCCTAGACTTCTTCTCAATGTCCATCTGTACATTAAGATACGTAAGATAAATGTTAGTCATAGTAGAGTTAAAAACCTATGTAGGTTTTTTTTTTATTATGTGGTCATTAACGCAAGTACATTTTTTATGACTATCTTTTTATTATGTTATTCATTTACATGATACTGAGTTGCAGTTATATATACAAATTGAACATTTAATACAGCTGTCTATCAAAATATATAAGGCACTGTGTGTTAATACATACCACAACAAAGACAGCATACAATACTTCGAGAAGCTGCAAGCATTTCAATGAAAAATACAATGGTGTATTTTAGATTTGTGTTTTAATATTTTTTTTAAAATTGAGATAGAAGAGATAGAGACAGAGAAAAAGCATGAAATAGAGAGGGGAAGGGAGAGAGAGTTACAGAGAAAGTGAAAGGGAGAATTAAAAGCGGGAGAGAAAAAGAGAAAAGGGAATAAAATGATTTTACTTTCATAAATGTAAACATAATAAAGAAAACTAAAAATGTCAGAAAAAATCTTGATTTGCTTTTACATAATTTTTAAAGGATAGTTATTCGAATATTACTATATTGAGCTAAACGTTATTTTTTTTTGTAATCATGCACATATCAGCATTTTTGTTTTTAAAAACATTGCTAAGTGTGAAACCAATTTAGATTTTAATTTTACTTTTACTTGACACTTTTTTTCCTATTCCATATTAAAAATAAACCCTTTGTAAAATTAATGTTTATAAAGACAGTTTTAAATTATAAAGTATCATTGTAAATTGTACACATAAAACGGCTAAAAATATAAATATATCAGTAGCGTCCGACACAAAGGCGTAGCGACGGGGGGGGGGGCAAACGGGGGTATATATGTCCCCGGGCGCCGACCCTAGGGGCGCCCAAATAAGCTCATTTAGCTGCTGTTTTGAATTATAAATATAAAAATATATGTGGAGGCGCCAAATCGAAAGTTTGTCCCCGGGCGCCGGGAGGGGTCGCTACGCCTCTACCACAAGGAATGTGTAAGTACGCCTCCCGTTAATAATGAATTCAGCTGTTAACACTGTGTTCTTCAATGATTGTCAAAAGTTATTATAAAGTAAGAGTGCAGTGCTGTTAAATGAAACGTCTTTAAAAGAAGCGATCGCTCGCAAGCTGAACTAGATCTAGAACGCATGTTGTATAGTAACCTTGACCTAGATCGCGTGCTATGTCGAGTGTAAACTCAAGTATAGTACAATCATTTAAACACACAAAAATATCAATTATATTGCACAAAGTCACTTAAAATCACTAAATTGTATCACTGTAGAAATTCAACTTACTATGCAGTTGAAGTTAATCACAAGGTTGAGAAAAACCCACATTTTTGTGAGAATTTGTTCTGCAGCTTACTGCAGAGTCTATTCAAGAAAACAGTCTTCGTGTAATGTGTCGATAAGTTCCCAGTAGTCGTTTATAGATCGTTACGCTTCGCTGGTTGACGGGTCGTGGTAACACGTTAGGTCGGGGCGATAACTCAGTTATTTCATGGTGTGACTAACTCGCTAATGGTGGTATCGATTCTCACATTTAAAACGATACTGGAAACACGATACAGTGGATTGAGAAAATTATTACTGGAAATAAGTTAATTTACTTCAAAATCTTGGCTTTATTTTTAATATGTATAAGGATAGACCTATCAAGTGAAAGTAAAATTAAAATCTATATTGGTTTCACACTTATCAATGATTTTGAAAGCAAAAATATAGATTTTTTTCTAAAAAAAATCAATTTTCGTTTATAGACCTGTGAATACTTTAGTTATAAATTTACGTGGATAAAAAAGAAATATAAAGAAAAGAAGTGCTTTGTTTAAAAATAAATATAAAGCCATTAGAAGAAAAATGTATTTAAGTAACATGACTAACCTCCGAAAATCTAGCCCTAATAATATTCATGGCTAATACCTATTACTACGAATAAATGTATCAGTTCAGCTTTAACGTTTACAGGCATCACAATGAAATAGCTAAACCAAGTTTTTCTGTTCAGGAAGGATGTAAGACGTCAAAGTTTGTCAAAATCTCCGTTTAGATTTTTTGCATGATTACAATGATCCTTTTTGTTCCGTATATGATAAAGTAGGGATGTATAAAAAGGCGAAAACTGTCAATATATTCAATTATTAATTAGAATAATTCATCTAAACTCTGTATACACATAAAGCGGCAGTGATCGTTCCTAAACGTTATCGAATAAACTTATAAGGAGGATGGCAAATTTTACATACATACACTTTTTAAAAATAGAATAGAATCTCGTAGAAAAAAAATAGCTGCGCACCATGAGAACATCAAACAATCCGTGTATAATAGTGTGGAACATTAGTACTTTATACATTCTTATGGTGTTTTTTTTTGAGAAACCGGAAACATTGTAAAGTACTACTTCCAGTACCGGAAATTACTCAAAGTTCGACAGACAATTAGATCTTTTACTTGTGTATGAGTTTTCGTCTATCTATCACAAAAAGTACTCGAGTTATAGGCTTTTGAAAAACCAAATGTATAATAAGTTCCACTCCCACTTATCTGTAACGTACTCAAGTTATTGTGTTCTCAGACACACATCCACACAGACACACAGACATAGAGAAAAGATTGCAAAACTAACTTTTTCCTACTAGATATCACATATAACGCCTAGATTTTGATATAGATTTTGATAAATCTGCATTTTAATTTAGTCCGATTAAGTGCCCTATACTCCGTATATGATGAAGAACTGAGGTGTATAACGGTGAAAACTGTCAAAAATGCATGTGAATTTTGTGCACGATTACAATACTTTCTATAGACTCTGTAAAAAGTAAAAACTTGCCACATAAAACAACTGTTGCATTGAAGATTATCCGTGTATGAACAAAGGCTAAAGTTAACCCAGAGGTAACAGGAGACTGAAGTTTGCGTCAACAGGTCAAATGGTGCATATCATGTTGACATGTTATACTTTATTTTATTGGATATCCCCTTATATATATATATATATATATATATATATATATATATATATATATATATATATATATATATATATATATATATACATATATGGGTCGGTCTGTTTGTGTCTCTTTTTATCATTTATGCATTACAAAACCTTTTATTGGATTACTTTGAAACTCTGAGGAGTAGATGAGAAACTGATTAGAAGATTTCTTATATAAAAAAGTAGTTATAAATATAAGGGAGGGCGGTTTCTGCGCCCAGATTGCCCTCGCTGCATTCTTACAACCTTGGTTAAGTCTATTGGACGTTTTGCACATGGGGTTGCAGGGTCATACCCCACCAGGCGAATCCACTGGCACCCCTCGGCGTTCAGGGCATCTGCAGCACCCTCAGCTTTTGTGCACAATGGCGCCTACATTCGTTTTAAAGAGAACCTTATGTCAAACGACATTCAATTATTAAACCGAACCTGGGGCGGTATCAAATACCCCTACGAAAGCACATTGTGACGCCCCTCATACACGGATGATCGAAGATGTATTTTTTACCACTCTATTACGGATAGTGATATTGCGAAATAAGCTGCGCCCTAACAAGTAAGTATGGTCCAAAAAAATTAAAATAACTCAGGTTTAGAAATTCCAAACTACAACAAATTGATGAAATCATTTTAAGACCTCACCAACGCACTGTACGGGTACGCTAGTGATTACAATAAATTACAAACGAGAAGAAGTTTAAATTAAATCTCAAAACCAAACCCCTTTCCTTAGAATAAGCATAGCGTTTCAATATGTTTCTATGTATTCACATTCCTAACCCCATGACGTCAAAAAAACTAAAACACTTAACAAAAGTTAAACCCCTCCCCATTGTGTGTAAATCTATTCACGATTTATTCACACTTTTTAAGTGTTCAATCAAATATGGTTATGAATGCAAATTCAGTTTTTTATTCTTCGATTAATTTTTTTTTTAAAAGCTGGTAACAGCTTAGCAATTTTTTTGTTTGTTGGACACCAGCTGTCTTACTTAGGTATGCAAGGTCGTTTACTCAAGCCAGTCAAAACATTCACAGTTGTGGACTATAGGCATATCAATACACGTTTTGCGGATGTGTCGGTAGTTCAAGGTTTTTTGTTGATCTCATTATGTGGACGTGGATTTTAGGATTTCTGTATTGGGTAGGTAATTTTGTTCAGAAAAAAAGTTCTATTCTCGTTGTGGTTCATACACTTGACGGAAATGATGTAGGCTATTTTGTTAACGTTGTTTGCATGCTAATGGATCATTTGTTTCTCATATTCAATCACTAGTTGTACATCAGCATCGAAGCATGTGTCCAGATCGTTGTGGAAATTTTTGTGGCGTTTCTAATTTTGGTAATAACAATAAGCGCTATAACTAATTTTATTTAGAAGAAAAAAAAGTAATTTTAATCATTATTATTTAATGTGAAACAATAATTTTAATTTGATTTTTCTATCAAAGAAAATACTGGGCAATAGTCCATGTATTACATTTTCGCTCATTTAATAAACAGTTGCATAGCTTTAATATATATATATATATATATATATATATATATATATATATATATATATATATATATATATATATATATATATATATATATATATATAGTTTCACAATATAAACTGGAAATCTAATTAAGTATAACATATTACATCTTAGATAGTTTGCTGTTATATGAGACCAACAATACAAAAAAATGCAAGACGAGATACATATAAACGAAATGACCGTGTATCAACACATCGCATGTCTTACGTGAGCACAGTTACCGCTAAAACAGGCAGAAAAACGGGAGAACGTCATAGAAGTTGTATCACTGCTCCAGCCACAAGCAGATCAAGAAGCGGATTAAATGATACAGAGCCTGCTAACAGATTAGAGAGTACCCTTACAACCACGGCTGTGAACAACGATGAAATAGGAAGTAGAGTAAGCAATAAGACTGGAGCATCAGTATACAAACCTAGTCAAATAACGTCTTCATCAAACCAAACGTTCAAGTACCACACTGAAGAAATCGATCAATCAAATGCAGGACCTGAAACCCCTGACAGTACATTCCTCATCACGTCATGCCCAGATGGTCAGGGTTCGAAACCAAACAAGACAAAAGAAAACAACGACTCAACTGTCCCTGTCAATATTTTGATACACGGCACGACAGAATCGAGCACCACTACACCACACCATCACCAAGACGCAGACGAATGTACTCAAGCATCGAACTGCGCTGATAGTAATCAGCAAGAACAAAGGTCAACAAAAGACAGAAGGTAAGTAGGATATTGAACAGTTTTATTGATAAATCAGTAAAATAAACAGTTTACAATTAGGTAAATACCTGGTTAAATGGTTAACTACTAACATATAGTTTAAGGTTTATTAACTAAGATGGAATAAGTGACGAAATAAAATGTCCCTTATATATATAAAATGTCCCTTATATATATATATATATATATATATATATATATATATATATATATATATATATATATATATATATATATATATATATATAATAAATGTAATAATAAGGTTTTTTTTGTCAGGGAGTTTGAAGTTAACGTACAAGAAGAGAGTGTTCTTGAGGAGGAAGATATTTTATTATGCCGTGAAGAAAGCTATGAAAGTAATATAAGTGGACATGTAAGGTAAGACTTAATGGTTTTAATGCTTAGAATTCTTTTTTAAAATCAGTAAATCAAAGCACATCAATTACTGAAAACATATTAAGCCCTGAAAACAAATGAATTACTAAAAACGCATCGATTTCTAAAACACAAGAATTACTGAAAATACATGAATTACTAAAACACATGAATTATTGAAAACACACGAATTACTGAAAACATGAATTATTGAAAAAACATGAATTACTAATCATAAGTTATCAGTGTGCTTTATTTCAGCGAGTTCCCAGAATGTAAAATAGATCTAAGAGGAATGAGGCTTGACTACGCTATGATCTACTTGTACAGATTTCTGACCTACAGATACGGAGGTAGGTTAGGTGAAGTCTTTTTAAAGAAATGTGTTCAGTAAAGTTTGGTGATGTTGCTCTATAGCTTATAGTTTTAAGTGTTGATTATTTAAGATGGAGAAAATGCAATACTATATTTTTTTTACAAACTAAGTCATTGTCAACTTTTTTGTTTAATTGAAAACATTTACATTATGTTTTAATTTGTTTTTGTAATTTGTGAATTTATTAGAAAAACACACGTCAACCAAAATTAAATGTAGACTGATTAGTCGAAATCGATATTGAATTTTAGTTTTCGCGACAGAAAACCAACACGAAATAGTTGATGCAACTCCACACGATAAAACAACATTGAATACGCTATAGAACAAAACACATCAGTTCAAAGTGAAAAGAAAACAAAATA